ACATTGTCAATAATATCAAAACAAGTTTTACAATTACATGGCTAACCGCACAAGATTTTGTAGACAGTATATTGTGAGGAAGTTTTGCTTCCTGGACTAGCTTCAGATCACTTTTTCTTAAAAAATTTAAGTGTAGTATATGAATTCTTTGAAAATGTTAACCAGATAAATTTATCTGCTCAAAAGCAGAGGAAAGTTGAAGACAAGAGCACTAAATTTTCACTTACTTCACCCAGTACAGTTGCCTCCTAAAACTAAAGTGTAAAGGGGTAGGTACAGTAGTGCTAGCAGCAGTTGACACGCTTGCTCTCACCCAGGATCAGACTCACTTCAGCACTGTTTCTTGCTCCACCAAGAAACATTCAAACAATCCATCTCAGTATTCTAGCTTGACGTTGCTTATTTGGATTTAGTCTATCATACATTCTAACCATCACTGTAAGGCAAAGACCAAAGTTTGCAAAATTTGTTGGAAGATTGGAAATACCAATGATAGGAATTGCTCCACCACACTTCGACAAATGTGGACTCTTCATACTCACTTTTACAAAGTGTCATCAGTGTATTCAGTAATTCTACTCCATCTTTCATTGACTTTACAGTTTGTCAGCTCTTTGCAAAGGACAATCCTTCCTACAAATGTCCACCTTGCTAGTATGACAAAGAGCAGGAACTATTCAATTACATAGATAGAAATCAAAGGCTAGAGATGTATTATACATATAGATAAACATATTTATAATAGATATTAAATATTAACTTAAAGATCTTTTTCATTTATTACTGACAACTGAAAAACCAGATCATGACCTCTGTATCAGAAATACAACACTGTGATTATGGACCAGTAAAATATTTCAAGATCCACATCTCAAAAAGAATTTCTAATTCATTCATAGTATGACTAATAAAATTAATGAAAAAAATAGAAATAAATCTGCATTGTTATTTGTACACTATTTCCAGTAATAAATGGCAAGAAATACTCTGAACAAAGGCAAAATCTTGTTAAATATGTACTGCAATTTTTATTATATTCATCATGAAGTCAGAATTTATCCCATTGTTAAGGTAAAAACAAAAAAGGATAACGTTAAAATAATGTAAAAATTAAAATTTGAAATAGAGGATGTTATTTTGTAAATGGAATTTTACTTGGAAGCCTTATAGTTGCTATCTCACAGATTTATTTTTTGCTGTATTTTTACACTAGAGTCTCTTACAAAAAGCAACCAGTAGGTGGAGCAGACAACATGATTTAACACCTGCAAACTGGTTTGTTTTTTTTCCATAATTATGGCAATCACACAGGAGAAATTTTCTTCAAAGGAAGCTAATGTGTGTTAGATATTACTTGGCTAGTTATTGAAACTACTGACATAGGTTAAAAGCTCAGGCATTTCATAACCATGAAGCTTTAAAGCTCAAATTTTACTTTTCCAGACATTACTTGGCAACTAACTTAGCTTAAATCAAACAAAATTTGCTTTCTTTTTTCAAGCCAACTCTTACCTGTAAAGAGTATTAAATTTGTATTGCATAGATACTTCTGGTACTATAGATAGAAAAGAAAGAAAAAAAAGTTGCTGTTTTTCAGAAAAGCCAAAAAACATTTTTCTGTGATGAAGTTGGCAGGATATATATATATACATTTTTTCCTTTGTTCATCTTCCTTAAATTTCTTTGCTAAAACAATTCTTTAATCCAAATAAATGGCTTATGTCTATTAAAATGTTTGTGTCAATGTATTTGTACACGTAGCAATGGGAAAGAGTTGTGTTTTGTTAGATTTTCATGTCAAAATACACTCCATTAATTGTTTGCAAAACATAAAGTGCAAAACATAGTATAATAGCATACAGGTTTTACAATCCAACTATTTCCCTGAATGTCACTGTTTCATGGTAATTGAAATCAGTATGCCAAAGGAAAAATGAAAAAAAAGATGTAATGCAGATTTAAATGTAGGCATGCCTTTTCAATATTTTTAGGTAGGTCAAACTTCCTGCTTGAGACTGAAGTGTTCACACACTTATTCTGCTCATATTTTGAGCTCACTAGAAGCTGTGTAATTGTATTAATTCTACAGCTAATATACCATGGCTCTCAACAAGGCTAATTAGTTTAGGTTCAGCCCCATATTATAACTCTAGATTGGCTTGGAAGGCAACCAAAGCAAGCTCAGAGCTGTCTATATAAGGCTATGTGTATATACCTGCTCCCAACAAAAACAAATAATGTATAGTAATTCAGAATTTAATCTCCATTTCTTTCCCTTTTTTTTTTCCTTTATAAAGGAAAAGGTTTTTATGAAAGAAATAAATGCTTGAATAGAAAGTTAACACCAGAAAAAAACAAGTTTACTTTATCAAAAGCCATGATTTTATAAAAACGTACTAGAAAACCCTATATATTTACAATACCAGCATTCGTAAGATTTACTTTTTGAAATGTGAAATAATGCTACCAATTAAAAATTGGCATAGCCTTGTATACATGTATATATTTTTAATCAGTGCGATAAGATTATATCTGTGAAATGCAAATTCTGAATTCAATACAGGATTAACAGTCTTTAAAGGCACAAGGGATTACTGTACTATCTGCTACACTGTGTAGCTACATGCTTGGTTATTTCCCTGTTTAACCTGTAACATATTTCTGAGATAGTTCTGTGGGCTTTGGCTTGTAGAAAGAGGAACTTGACATCTCTTTCTTTCTGACAATTCTTTTCTGACAGTAAGTAAGCACACCTTTTTCCATGCTTGCAATAAAACAAAAAGATTCACAATATACAGGATGTATTAGACACTATTATTGCAGGTACAGATTTTGTAATGCTGTCCATATAACTCACTTGAGTATCTGCAGCCTTGATCCTTCATGTGGCTTAGCTCCACCACTACAAAAACTTTAGCAGATCGTCTGTACTCACTGGGCTTTAGTTAACACACGACTTCAAAAGAAATCCATTTTATCAGCCTCCTCTTTCCATTTGCTATGTCCCCAGATTAAAAAAGATATCATTTCCTTCACTCACTGAAAAGTGTTGATTTTTTGCTGCCTGGTTATACTAAGACAATGAACAGACCTTACTCAGAGTTAACTATCCTTTGAAGATAGCAAGCAGCACTTGTAGTCAGGTCAGAAGAGCAAGGATATTCAGAGCAAATTGCCAGGCACAAAGCATAAAACCAGTAAATTCTGAAGCAAAATCATTTGCTCTGTATCTAATGAAGATATTAAGTTTTATAATTATGAGGAATACACAGCTTGATGACAATAAATTGATGGTTGCTGTTTTTCAAGGCGTTTGATTTAAATTCATTCATATTTCAAAATATTACCTTAGAAAGACAGTTCTTGAAGCAAAGTTCCGTGATAAAGGAAAAATTCTGTAGACTGAGTCACTGCATACACAAGTTATCTTTGCAAGCAAAATCAAGTATGTTTTTGTTCTGAAAGATTCTGAAAATGAATTCTATGTAGTTCTGTAAAATCATAACCCAAATTCATTGGATCATAATAACTACTGCAGCCCACTACCAGAAGTCCTCCAGTGCATGGCTGAAATTAGGACCCTCTTGCCATTCCTTAAATAAGTGTCAATAAGTTTGCTAAGACAGAATTATCAGAAGTGAACTAAGTTTACTAAAATCTTTTTACATAGCAAGCCTCTTAATTCTCAATAAAAATCCAATTTTTTGCTCCAGGTAAATGCATTAATGTCTATCTATTTGTTTTACGTAAGTTTCTCCAACACAAACATAGTATAAAGCAAAAGAAAAACAATGCACAGCTAATCGTTAATATTCTAGTTTTACATCTGGAGAAACTAATTACTGTGAATTAATTTTAGTTACTAACTCCCTCAGAAACAAAGTCATTCAGAATTTTTCTGCTGTTACTAAACAGCATTTTTATCTGGCTTTTTTTTTTTTTTTTTTTGCAATAAAGATACTCATGTTTTATTGGAAAATTGATCTTTTTTTTAATAACTGATATCCAGTCAATGCACATATATTTTAAGTAACGTTTAGATTACAAATGATTCCCAAGCAGAAGAAAATATTAATTTTCTGCCACTAAGTGGCATGGTATTTTTCTTGCTTTCCTTAGGATTTGCACTTCTTCCACACAGATAATCTATATAGATTAATAACCAGTCAGATACATAAAGTAAGAAATGAATAAGAATCAAAAAAAAGAAGCATTTAGTTCATGTCAACATATCCTAACTGTCTGTTATTCCTTATTCATATGAAGTAAAACCAATCACTAAGCATTTACCGTTTATGTGAAAGTTTAAAAAAGGGCACTAACAAAAGGCAAAAGCACAAGCATCACCAAGCACATTCATTTTGTCTAAGATACGTGTATGGCTATGCTGACTGCAAAGCAGCATACATAAGGAAGCTTGAAAAATATATCACTTTTATCAATACAAAACAAATTAATCAGTAAATATTTAAAATTTATGAGGCATTTCTATGTAAAAACAATTATGCTAAATAAGCTGATTCAGGCAGTTCTAGGAAAAGCTTTTACAGAAAAACTGCATTTACAATCTGTCTTAAAAACAAAGAGAAGATAGAACCAGTCCCAGCATTAGCTCAATTTAAAAAAGGGGAAAAAATGAAATCCCTCCTCAGCTTAATAACTTGTTAGTTCTTGACAAGTGCAACAACACAACAATAAGCCAGTCAAAATGAGTTTTTAAAGCGAGGTTATGCCCTTCGTGTTGTGTTATCACAGTGGCAGATCAAACTGCTGACTTGGACTCTTTCTGCCAGCAGTGCTGATGCTGCCTCTATGAAGCTGCTGTCGTGGAATAGTCATGGTACCTGCTCTTGCCTATAGAAAAGCACTAAATTGAACTCGAAGTAGTGTCTTTGTGATATCTTTTCAACAAGTCATGTCCCATTCAGCCTGCTAGTTTATCTCTGTCAGGCTGGGGGCCCAAGTGGTTTGCATGAGCTGTCAGGGACAGGTATACCAACCTGCTCAGTGCTAAGGAGGTAATGCATCTTTCGGGCTTTGTATTTCTTTTCCTTTTCTTTCTTTTCTAGGTCTTTCTTCTTCTTTTCCTTTTCATTCATTTCTGCATACTCTTGGAGTTCATTCCTGTAATAAAATAAATTTATCAATCATGTGGTGATAATAAAGGACCTGGACATGTTTTATTTTACTTTAACCCTTTTATAGCCTCATGGTGTTTTGCTATTAACTATTAGCAATGTACTGCAACAGTAGCATGGAAAATTACAGTTCATCGAGTTCCACAGCAGCAGGATCTACATGGAGATATCTGTGAAGAAAATGGATTAAAATGCCAAAACCAGTATACTAGTTCATATTGTTTAGTTATTACTTTGAAGAAGATGTCAATGCTCATTTTAATAGTTTAATAAAATTTATAGATATTTTGCTTTCAGAATAATTCTCGTTTGACTTTTATTTATAACTAGAATTTATTTTAATTTAGTAATGTTCCTTCAGTCTCAAAACTGAAGCTGTCCACTTAAGTTTTGATTAGTGCTTTGTGACGTCTCCTTCTGATCTGCAAACTTATGACATGAAAAAGCATAGTAAACAGAGGATAAGAGTTGATATTTTATCCTAGACCTTTGAGCCTTTTGTAAAATTGAGTACTTATGCACAGAGAACTGGATATAACCTTCTTATGCAGCAGTGTCTTTAAAAAGAGGAGTTTCCATAGCATTAAGTTTCTTGCACAGGTCACTTTCTACTCTAGTCTGATAGCAATGGTACAGGCCACAAGAAAAAAATATAACTGCCTCATGAGACAGTGTATGAAAGAAGTTTGCAAACATAGATGTCAACTAAAGGACATAGTCAATAGGTTATAGGACATTGTTTCATTGTAAAAGAACTAAAGAACTGTACCTAATACCAACTGGCAGAGAATGGAGAGAACTCATGATTCCAAATGAACATTTACAAAAGAAAATGGCCATTGATTCCACTGCCATGGCTTCTTTCATAGAACGAAGTTTCTCATAAATTATGCAAACGGTGAAGAGAATCAGTGCTCTCTAAGAAACAAAATTTTGTGCTACTGTGCACAGTACACAAGTATGGATTTTTGACCCACGTAAAAAAGGTTAGTTTGATTAACATTTGTTACATTTGTTATTAAGAAATAGCTAGTTCAAATTAATTGGCATGCCAAAGACACCAAATATATTCAGTCAACCATTTAGATTGTTTTAAAGTTAATTAGGTGAGTAAATTCTATTTGATGGTTCTTTTTTAAGCATTTGAGTACATGGTAAAAAAAAGAAGAAAAAAAAAAAAGAAAAAAAAGAAAAATACACCATCAATATTTATCCATTATTTATAATATTTAACCAGGTATTAATGTACCTGGATTATTCAAATGTTCCAGCAAAACATATTTAGAGAGGCCCATATTAATGGTCTCACTTGTGTCAGTGGATACTAAATAAGATACAATAGAACAAAATCCAAATCCTGTCACATGCGAAGAAGTTTGCTACTATGAACAATTCTTCTGGAACATCATATTACTTCTGAAAGTATGTTTAAGATTGTGCATCTGATCTATTCTTAATATTTGTACTATCATAACATTAAAAAGGTTCATCAACATATGCGAATGAGTGAATTATTAAAAAGAAATTGCAGCATAGAATTGTTATTTATTTCATGTTATCTTTCAAATTTCTATCAGCTACAGTAAGTAAAAAATTAACTATTTACACATTTTATTTCAAATGTAACAGAAAAAATAAAATGGAAAGGAAATAAATTAAAGATCAGAAAAGATGTATAGGTCTCTTTCAAACTCTGGAAATATTTTTTGTTGCAGTTTACTGTTAAAGGCTTCTAATACAATATTTCATACAAGGTTACTTATGAAGCACACTGACGTTTAAAAATCACCATGCTATGCTTTTTCAGCAGTGTAATTTTTTTCCAACATAAGATTAAATTGCAAAATAAATGAATTACTTAGAGTGGCATGGCCCCCATTTTGCCACCCTTCTCTTGAAAATTGCTTATTAATATGAAAAAAGAAGTTGGAAAATAGCCTGTTTTACTTTATGCATAGTGTTTCGGGGCCTCAAAGCCTGCAAATCCAGACTAGCTGCACATTTTAGATTGTGTTGGCAAGCGGGTACGATGACCTTTCTGACCTGCATCTCAAGGCTATTATTAATCGCTAAGTAACCTGGTAAAGCCAAACAAATTTGTTTCCATTGAAAGGATCTCTATCTGTGTCTGAGAATTTGTGCTGTACCAAACAAACCTCATTAACTGTGTCCATTTTTGACAAAGAACTAGGAGTTGGAGAGATTGGCGACCTTTCTTTGTCCTTAAGGTGCAGATTTCAGAGTCACTGCCTATAGGTACATAAGCATTTTTACTTGGATACTCTTTGTTCTATATCAATCAGTCGAAATAAATGGATTAATAAAAAATGCATATAGTATCACTTAAAAAAAATTGCCATTTTACTCTCAGTATCAGACCATATAATCTGTTTTACTTATTTAATACTATTTCTTTTTTTTTTTATTACAGTCAACCATTCAGCATCAACACATTACTGGTGCTGTTCATGTTCTTAGATACTTATGTACTTATTTCAAAAGAAGCCCTGTTATTTAGAATGTGTGCTACAGATGTAGTAATAATGGGATGTAAAATGTTTTCCATTGTCATTAAAATGAATTTACCAGAGTATTTTCAGGGAATATTTAATAGTCAGCATGTGATGAAATTAAAAAGAAATCAAAAATAAAAAAAAATAATACTAATTTGAAATTAAAAAAAAAAAAATAAAAAATAATTGTAGAAATTCAACAAAATTCATGATCTTTTTAGATAGTACTATAATTCAAAGTATTAAGATACTTTCAGGATAATCATGTCTTCATTAACACGGTGCCAGAAATCTTCCCAAAGTTTGCTTGTTTTTGGCTTATAGTTACAAATAATCTTCAGTATACATTTGCAGCCTACACATCTTGTTAGTTGTGCTATAATATTTCTATCACCCATAATACTGCTGTGTACAGTTGTACAGAATATACAGACAATAGTGACTGGAGGATGGGAGCTCCCAGGATGATTCTCTTCTAAGGGGCAACAGAAAATAACACTGTATTTTCAAAAAATTTGAATAGGAGCAACAAAATCAAGAAAACAATAAGTGATAGGATATGAATATACTATTTCATATGTGAGCAGTTCAAGAACAACACATTATTCACTGTGCAGTGGGTTTCACTGTTACCGTACAGAAAAAGGTACATAAGCATAAGTGATACTAAAGACATAAATCTGGACTTCCAAACAGAGTTAGAGTTAAATCTTAAAGGTTCAAAGAGAATAAATTCAAAGTCCATTACAGTCAATAGAAAATTCCATGAAATTAGATGATCTTTGGATTAAACCGATCTTTCTCTTTGTTCATATATAACTCAAGTTCAATCAGTGATAATAAACAATGCTTTCTTGGGACTATCTGATATTAGGAATACTAGCTACCATGCATGATCAATAACTTTATCCTTTCAGACTCTGGATGCAATTTGTTTCAGGATAAACCTTTAATGGTTCAAGGAGGAGAACTGAATATGGAAAAATACTTTGGCTTGCATCAAATTTGTTGAGAGAAAAAGGGTTCTGTAAATGTATAACATGTTCTAGGTTAATTAGTAATCTTGTTTTGTTTTTGCAAATAATCTGTCTTTTACATGGTTCATAGTTGGAATATTTAAACTAACTTATAAGTAAAAAATTGGTAATTTTTTAACATAATTTTCTCGTTGTCTTAAAGCATATCTAAGTTTTTTAACGTCATCTACTGTATCTTCCTACAAACCTGGCTTCTCCTGTCTGCCTACTTTAACTAGAGTTTCTATCAAACTGATTTTTATATAATACCATTTTAAAGGAAATATGTATAAGTTTTGACAAATATAGTGCTTTCTCATTACTTGAAAAAAGTCCAAAGAATATCAGTGTTAATTAGCACAACCTTACCATGCACTTTTTTGCTTAAAAAGTGAATATGTAGGTAATATAAAGTGCATTTTCTTTGTAATACAGAATACTCCAAGTAATTGAAATCAAGCATAGCATTATCAATGTAGGTGCGCAAAGAAAACAAATAAATCTGTAAAGTAGCTATTGATTTGTTAATGACAAAATTATTTGCTTTATATAGTTTGACAATAAAACATTTTCATATGACAAGGTAACTTATTGTTATTCTGATACTTCATTATGCAGTAGGCAGCAGTGCTGGTTCCAGCTATGAGATGCAAATTTGGTTGACAGTACTCCTGCTGTCTGTATAAAGGTTAAAAATACACACATAATATTGTTCCATGCACTTTTGGAAAGGTCTTGAAGTGATGATTTCAGCAGTATACAGATTTTCATAATTCTGCAGAGAACTGCAACATTTTACAAATTCACACTGACCTACATTTATTAACTTCATCAAACAATTGCATTCCGTATGCACTTCCACTTAAATTCTGTGATCCTTTGATGAGATAGACATAATAAAATTGTAATATTTATTAAACAAAAGAGAATCCAGGAAAATCAATAGTTGATCAATAGTACTCAGAGTATAAAGTTATTGTGAATTTGAACAGTTCAGACTCCAAATCATAAAATTCCAGGAAAATAGCAGTAGGCAATCTTAGCATAAAAGGAGAAAAACTAAATCAATTTTACTTTCCTGACTATCTATCATCCTCCCTCCTCAAACAGAGAGTATGGAACTGAAAATGAAATTAGTGGGACAACACTTCTGGTACACAACTGCATGCCACTTGATTTCACATTACACTGGTGTATATGAGAATACAGTGTGACTTGTTGTGATGATATGATTTTACTTTTACCTATTATACTTGGGTAAAAAATGAGGCCTATATAGAGAGAGCAGTCCAGGATGTACAAGTAGTTTATAGAGAGGGCTATAGTTTAAAGACAGAACTTTAACAGAACATACACACTACTCTTGCGTTAGCTGTGTCAGACAGCTTCATCATCCTCAGCCTAGTTCAGAATACCTGAATGAATCTGCTCAGATTTACTGAGCAAACAGAAAGGCT